CCCCCCGCCCGACCGACTTGCACTTCCGTCCTCACATTATATTGGAATACTTCCAGTGTCCGAGTTTGCCCAGGAGTTGGGCACAGCTATGGATCTTCATGGAGCCAACATGCGACGACTCGTCGACGAATTTCGGAGTCGTTCAGGCGAGATGCGCGGTGACGTAGGGGGAATGAAAAGAATCTGGGAAAATTTATTGCGACAGGTTGAGACTGATGCCTCATCGCATCTTGATCTTGCAACGACGTTGAAACAACTGTCAAGACCAACGTTGGAAGCCAGTTTTCCCAAGAAACTTCAGTCACGAAAGGTAAAATCAATGTCGATGATGAATGATTTTTTTTTGTTCATTTGAATGAATAAAATTTGATAAAAGAAAAAAACGTCTTCCCTCCAGGAAATCCTCTTGAATTTTTATTAAAATTCTATTAAGATTCTATTGATGAATTTTTTCTGCTAATATTTGCCATTAATTGTTAATAGAATTCATTAAAAAAATTAAGGATTTTCAAGAGAATTTGCTGGATAAAATGAGATTATCTATTCAATTTTTTTATCGCACAGAAAAGTTGTGCAATTTCAATAGAAATGCGATAGAATTTCTTACAGATTTCTACATGAAATGAAATTTCCATATGAAAGAAATTAAAAAATCGCAATTAAAATTGAGGAATCTTGAGATCATTCAAAAAAATTTCATGAAATTTCTTTCAGAATCCTCTTCAAATGTTATTTATTCCAATCGTTTCTTTTTTTATAGAAAAATCAAAATCTATGGAATTTTTTCCATAAAATGCCCTGAAACTGTGAATTCCAGTTCAATTATTCCACGAAAATCCCTATAAATCTCGAAAATTCCGCCTAGAATTAATAAAAAAAAACCTAGCGAATTCGCTAGACAACTCTATTGAATTTCTCCTGAACTATCCATTAGTTTTCGGCCGATTCTCTTGAAATATTCAATAAAATTATTTTCCAAAAAAATTCAATTGAATTTCATTTTTCTATACTTTTTCTCTTGACATATTCCCTGCAAAAATCCCTCTGCTCAAATTTTCCAAGTGTTTCGTTTAATTTTCTCGAAGAAAAGAAGAAAAATAGATTTTAAAAAAATAGAAAATTTGACCCAAGGAAATTCTGTAAAAAAATCTCAACAGGATAAGTTGCATAGAAAAATCGAATTCTGTAGACTTTTTCCATCCACCATTTTCTACTGAACATTCCAATAGAAAAGCAATAGAATGTTCTAGCGAGTTACAGCGAGACTGAAGAAATCTCCTAGACTCTACGAATTCGCGTCCTTCGCCTATAAACCCGCGCAATACCATCCAAAAAGCAGCAATGAAATTTCCTCCCCCCCAGCACTCTATTAAAATCTCATAAACCCCCCAGGTGTTCGCCCACCGGGAGGCGTACGAGCAAGTAGTCTCTAAAACCGAAGAGAAATTGCAAAAGGCCCGCCTGACCTACCGACGAGCATACGACGCCTTTTTAAAATGTGGAACGGGTGAAAGCCCAAGCGTATCAACTAATGCAACTACAGAGGACGAATCCAGTGCTCTGCGACGAGCCTACATCGACTCCCACAACGCCTACGTTCTCCAACTGCACGCGACAAATGCACTCAACGAATATTACCAGCTGCACTGTCTTCCGAGTCTCCTCGGCGAATTATCCGAGATCTACGAGGAGCTGAGTAATCTCGCGTGCAAATGCATCACTGAGATATCAGAAGCGAGCAATGAACGTGCCTCGGAGCAATCGAGACGTTACCAGAGCCTCACAAAGGAGGGGCACGCCATTATTCCCCAGAGCGATCTTCAATCATTGGCGAGAAATTTATCCTCAATATCAGCCGCCAAAAAACCCCCGCGACGACTGTTCGTGGCGCCTGCTCCAGCTGACCAAATGCCCCCAGACAGAATCAACTCAGTGCCAATTCTCAAGGATGAAATTGTTCCAACTGGAGCGCCAACCGATCAGGACACGTTCGAGGAGCTGCGGCGCGAGGCTGACGATCTAACATTGAAAATTGGTAGACTGAGGGACTCCCTCGATGCTTCCACGCGAATTCAGCGCAAGTGAATATTCAATATCTCAACTTATTGGATATAAATAACCGTGGCCTGGTGTTTTGTTAACCACAACTAATCTCATTACTGTGTCTTTTGTTTCGCTCAGAAGCGCCGAGGGAAGCCTCTTCACTAAAGTCGCTGAGTTACAGGAGGATATATCGATGAAACGCTTCGACCTTGGTGTCGCTCATTTGCATCTCGCTGCTGTGCAAGCACAGGTAAATTCTTTGCTCTTAAGCGGAATCGGGTATTCTTTTTCTATTGGCTGTGGGGGTAAAGTCTGGGGAGTACGCGTCGAGAGAAATGGCTAAGTCAATGAACTTTTTTTTTATTAAATAGAGAATTTTTTGCTCTCGGGCCTGATAGTTTAGTTTTTTTCAGCTTTGAAGGTAAAGTTTACGGAATACGCGTCTGAGAAACGGTTTTAAGTGAGTGGACTTTCTTGGGATTAAATAGAAAGTTATTTGCTCTCAAACCCCATTGTTTATTTATTTTTTCTCTGTTCTCTTTGAGAGAATTTACGGAATTCGCATCGAGAGAAAGGGTTCGTTTTGAGAGAATGAATTTTTTAAAATTGGATGCATAATTCTTTGATCTTAAGCCTCATTGGTTACTTTTTCCTCGAGTGAGATTTTTATCTTCGAGTGTGAAGTTTATTGGGGAAATTCCGGGCGGAGTTCGCGAAGTGCCCAGCTCGGGGAAATGGGTTACTTGAATTGAATGGACTTTGAATCAAATGAATAGTTTTAGTATGTAAATGCTTGTTTTCTTCGCTGTTGAAAATTTCGCTCGAGATTTGTGGTGCACTTCTTGGAGATTTTTATCACATTGTTGATCCTCTGAAATTTCGAGGAATTCCAGATCAACAGTTGAATTTTCTCCATGAAAATCGATAGAAATTGAGGAAATTCAATTAAAATATTTTTAAAATTCTAATTAACTTCACATTAAATGAAAATTGATGATTGTTTGGTACCGAATATTCACGTTTCAATTGAAAATTCAAGTAATTTGAGCAACTTTCATTTTTCTGCTTCTGAAAAATTGAAATTTCACCGAATTTTCAGGGAAATCTGAATAAATTTTTTTTTACCAGTGAAAAATTAATTATTTATTCACGCAAATAGGGAAGAGAACAAATTCATCAACTTCCCAATGCTCCTTTTAAAAAAATAAAAAGTTGTATTCAATTTCAACGCGTCATTGCTGACTCCTCGTCTGACCACGCGCGGCATTTTTCACTTGCCCCGGATGTAACTTCGGACACAAGACCGATTATGAAATAACGTTCTGCATTAAGTAATTCAATGGCCCTTTGATCTTCACAAAAAGGATCCCCTCGTTACATTAATCCGTGGCAAAGGCCACCGCCTTTCTCATCAATACTTCAACCCAAATGGAAATTACAATTCCCCGTAAATATCAAGACCCTCGTGAATAAATGGAGTGTATTGTTGCCGAGTGAAATATAAAATACAACAACAAACAGAAAATTTTTTCTACCACTGTTGATTTAAATGAAGACTTTTTTATATTGAAAAATCGATAATTAATTCGCCCCAATGGAGAACAGAACTAATTCGTCAACTTTCCAATGTTCCATTTGAAAGAAATAAATTATTTACTCCATACAATTACCAAATTATCATTGAAACACATGAAAAAATTAAAAATTAAAAGTTCTTTTCAATTCCAACGCGTCAAGACCGATTACAAAATAACATCCTGTATTAAGTAATTCAATGGCCCTTTGATCTTCCTAAAAAAGGATCCCCTCGTTACATTAATCCGTGGCAAAGGGCACCTCCTTTCTCATCAATACTTCAACCCAAATGGAAATTACAATTCCCCGTAAATATCAAGACCCTCGTGAATAAATGGAGTGTATTGTTGCCGAGTGAAATATAAAATACAACCACAAACAGAAAATTTTTTCTACCACTGTTGATTTAAATGAAGACTTTTTTATATTGAAAAATCGATAATTAATTCGCCCCAATGGAGAACAGAACTAATTCGTCAACTTTCCAATGTTCCATTTGAAAGAAATAAATTATTTACTCCATACAATTACCAAATTATCATTGAAACACATGAAAAAATTAAAAATTAAAAGTTCTTTTCAATTCCAACGCGTCAAGACCGATTACAAAATAACGTCCTGTATTAAGTAATTCAATGGCCCTTTGATCTTCACAAAAAGGATCCCCTCGTTACATTAATCCGTGGCAAAGGGCACCACCTTTCTCATCAATACTCCACCCCAAGTGGAAATTACAATTCCCCGTAAATATCAAGACCCTCGTGAATAAATGGAGTGTATTGTTGCCGAGTGAAATATAAAATATAAACACAAATAGAAAATGCGAAGCAAATGAAATGATATTGTGCGCAATCATCGGTGTGACATGCGCTGTAACAACTGGGTCATATTCAAGCTTTCTCGGGCTATTCTGATATCCACGGCGAATTTATCCCAGTGGTTGTGGCTGTCTAGGTCAGGGGGAAAAATCATCGATACAATTTTTAAAACACTCGCAGAAATACAACATTATCGAGATGGGTTGGACGACCCTGCGTACGAGAATTGTTAGTAATGTTTGAATGATTGAATGTGAATTGACAAGTGGTTAATTGGGTCTCTCTATGTTGTATAGATTATTGGATTTTTGCGTTTGGTTTTGCATTGCGCTGGGTAGAAATCAGTGGTGTAGTTGTTCCAACAGTCGATACATCCTAGATTAATTGCAATCCATTGTTGTTGTTTTTGCGTCAATGCTTAGACTAGAAGTTCATCTGTCATATTTTTTTCGTTGAATTTGAGCTACGATTCGGGATTTATCCTGGCTCTTTTGGTCTTTAACATTACTCAGGCTCATTGTGTCGAATGTGTTGTGTCTGCAGAAAGAACTTTTTGGCACGAGTGACATTGGGCCACTGGATGGCATCAACAATCGGAAAATGTCAAACGGCTCGACTGGCAGTAACACCAAGCACAAATGGCTCAAAGCGTTCAAAAGCCTCAAGACGAGTTCACCAACCACTACTGGGGACAAGTGAGTATTGAATTTTTTGGGGGGTTGGCTGTCATTCAAATCAGTGCATTGTTGTGATTAATTGTGGTTTGTTTCTTGCTGCTAACTCTGTAATATTGCTGGGGTTTTTCTGTTGCGAAGGAGCAAACAAACCATGTACCATGCTGTCTCCACGGTTGTTGCTATGTCCAGGTGATTAATTTTATTATCATTGGAATTCAGGGGGTGTTCCAGTATTCTACAATTCTAGGGAAAATTAAAACCGAGGGCTTTCTCGGATTTTCAATTTTCTTTTTTTGTTACTTGCAAATTTTTTTGTATTTTTTTTACATAGTATTATAGTATATTAGATACATATAATACTATAATAATAAATTTTATTACACACGAAAAAAATATACTTGATTCAATTTTTTTTCCGTGCATTATCTGAATTTCTTTAGAATTTTTTTTTCTTTTTTCAATATGCATAATGTTTTTATATAGTACATTATATATACTATACTATACCATATTATAATACAAATTTTATATAGTAAAGAAAGAAAAACTTTGGGCGGAATAGATTGGCTCAAAAAAATGTTGAATTGGATTTTTTATTAAAGGGAGAAAAAGTTTATTGATATTCAACTTATTCGGTTGAGGTTTTTCTTGGATCTGCCTATGAAAATCAAATAAAAATACCGCGGAGAAAACTCTGAAAATTTTGTCTAAGAATTTTTAAAGAGCAATAAAAATCTATTGACTTTCTTCTCATCAAATATCTCTTAAAATGACAAGGTAGTTGCATAATTTCCTATGGAAATGGTAGAAGATTCTAATAGAATTGTTGCCATTGAAATTCAATAAATTTTTATCCTTCATTTTTATCCTTTGATAACAAAATTATTTTTTAATTAAAAAAAAAGTTATTGAATTTTTTAAATTTAAATAAAAAATTCAAAAAAACTTTCAATGAATTTCAATGTAAAAAATGCAATAAATTGTTATTAAGGGATAAAAATGAATTTAAAACATTTATTGGATTTTTTATCCTTCAAAACTTTGGAAATGTTTTTTTTAACGAAAAATTCATGTTTTTTCACGTCGAAAATTTCCAGAAAAAATTTGGAATCCGAGGGTGGACACCAGTGGCGCGAATACACCTATCGTAAAATAACCCCGTGCGATGCCTGCGGGCAGGTACTGCGTGGCCACAGTAGACAGGGGTTAAGGTGTCGGGGTTGTAAGGTCAATGCTCATGCTGACTGCATAAGTCTCGTGCAACCGAGCAATTGTCCAAGTCTAGCGCCGAAACGTGCCGGCGGTATTCCCCTACTGCGTCGTCAAAAAATGACAGCGCACGCTGATGAAACATTGACGGAGCACAGTGAGTAATGAATTTAATAATTCAATCGTCCCATCACGATGGGAGAGCTGATGGAATTTCCGATTAAGATTTTTTATTTATTGGCTCTGATGAGACGGTCGGGATGACATTTTATATTAGAACTTGTGTCACCCGTTGGTGCCGCCTCACCAATTAATCAAAGGATTAACCTGACATGAATGGCATTTCACGCGAATAATATGAGGCATTATTTTACTAAAATCCATTTTGTTTTTAGTTCATATGGAGTTTTTATTTTCGCTTCAAGTTTGAGCTTTTTACGCGTTTAATAAAACATCATTTTCCTTTCCAATTGTCCCATCAATCAATTAATTCATCATGATAATCCCCCATTTATTATCAATACGCGAGGAAAAATAAAATGGAAAATCTCTAGAATATTTTATTTGAATCGTATCCGTTTGTGCGATTTATGTTAAAAATTCGGTACCTTTGACGTGATTTTTACAAAAGAGTCATAATATTTCTGTGAAAATTGTAGTTTTTTTTATTCATGAACCGAAATAAAAGAAAAAAAAACTCGAATTTTTAATTCAAACTCGTACGCAAATATTTTCACAAGGCGAAAATTTCCAAGATAAATTGAATCACTGAAGAACAAAAAATCTGTACCTCTGATATGATTTTTATAGAAAGAGACAATATTTCTGTGAAAATTGTCGTTTTTTCTGATTTATGAACAGAAATCAGGGAAAAAACTCGAATTTTAATGCAAACTCGTACGCAAATATTTTCACAAGCGAAAATGTCCAAGATAAATTGAATCACTGAAGAAAAAAAAATCTGTACCTCTGATATGATTTTTATAGAAAGAGACAATATTTCTGTGAAAATTGTCGTTTTTTCTGATTTATGAACAGAAATCAGGGAAATATCTCGGATGTTAATTCAAACTCGTTCGCAAATATTTTCCCAAGTGAGAATTTCCAAGATAAATTGAATCACTGAAGAAAAAAAAATTTTTTTAAATAAAAATTTAAAAAATCAGTACCTCTGACATGATTTTTACAGAAAGACTCACAATATTTCTGTGAAAATGGTAGTTTTTTCTGATTTATGAACAGAAATCAGGGAAAAAACTCGAATTTTAATTCAGACTCGTTCGCAAATATTTTCTCAAGCGAGAATTTCCAATATAAATTGAATCACTGAAGAAAAAAAAATTAAGGCGCCGTTTCCTGCGACGTACACTCGTCACAATGTTCATGAATATCCTGTACCCAGCAGGCGTGGATGCCACTTATCAGGTGCTGAAACAGGCAGGTGAAATCCGTGGTAATGCCACCAATTCACCGCCAACACCTCCAACAGTGGATCATGGATCCAGTGGAGGTCCGCTATCGGCGAGGAGTGCAGCAACCTCCCACCCCTGCTCCTCGTCCACTTCTGGTAAGACACACCAATCCATTCGATCATTAACAGACCTTCAACCCTATCTTCTCACATGACATTTACTCTCCCGCGAGGGACACGACTCGTTCATCACCTTTACTCTCTCTCTCTCTCTCTCTCTTTCTTTCTCTCACCCATCAGTCAAAAGAGTAAAAATAATTAAGGATTAATCACGGAGCATAGGCGCATTAATTCACACTGGTTACTCCACTAATTGTCAATTCACAGGGCAATTTGTCTATTTACATTATCATGGTATATTTTTCAATTCGCTCCCCTCATCGCCGTTTGTGCCTTCAGTTTGGTATGCTATGGAGTTATTAGCTATTTGGTCTAAGCGTTTTTTTTTTACTACACCCTTGACCCTGGCTTTTTCATCCAGATTCTGAGGAGACATTCAGCTGAATTGAGGTCCAAAACACTATCCAATTCCAGTATTTACCCAGCTTGTGACGAGTATTTGGTGAAAAAGGAAATTAACAGTTTTTCTTAATTAAAAATGCATATCCCTGTTTATCTAGTTGAATTCATGGGATGCGGGGGGTGGGGCAAAATGGACGATATTTTATTCTCTCGAATTCTCTTGTTGTGCTTCGAAATGTGATCAAATTCATTGAAGTCACCACGAAAAAACTGAGAATTAAAAAAGATATCACGAAAAATCTAGCGAATTGGGGTCAAATTCTATTCGATTTCTATCGAACTTCTGTTGGTTTTGGGCGGTTGTATTGAGGAATTCCGCAGTTCTACTGCGCATTTTTCAAATACGAAATGTCCAGTGGAAATTATTTTACAGAAAAGATCAGTGGAATTTCATTTTTTTATACATTTTATTCTCTTGACACATCTGCAATAGGAATTCCCCGACATGAATAGTTGAATAAGGTCCATTTTACCCCACCTTACGACAGCAAAAAATGGAAAATAACTCGATGAGCTGCGACAACACCGCAAATTATAATTTCTCAGACACGAAAAATTTCGTAGAAAACCTAGCGAATTCTATAGGAAATTCTATTGATGTTCTATTGAAAATTCCATTAGTTTCTGACCGATTCTGTTAAAAAATTCCGCAATTTATCCGTGCTTTTTTAAAAATAGAACTGTTCAATAAAAAATATTCTATAGAAGAATCAATAAACTTTTTTTTCCTCAACTTAGAGAATTCATGTCGAAGAATTCCTAAAGAATAGAACATGTTGTGTACAAAAATAAAGTTCTGATTTTTTCTATAACATACTTTCTATTGGACATTTACTATTTAAAAAGGCTAAAAAATGTGCAGAATTCTTCGAAAACTGACAGAAATTCAATACAATATCTCGTGAATTCGCAGTTTTTCTCTGAAATTTATTTTCATGTGCTTAAAAAACGGTTTGAACTCCTAAAATATGATTTTCACTGATTGAAATTGGTTAGGGCGTGGTAGCGGTGGATCGACTTCGGGTACACGACCATTCGGCCAGCCCCTGGTACTGATCGCCCCAACCACCTCAAACTCACCACCGGGCTCAGTCTCAGCCTCCTCACCACTGCGTCGCAAGCGCAATCCCAAAAACTGATGAAACAAATAATAGCGTTGATACCGCGAATGATAATATTTGAGCCCCCTGGGTCCTTCGAGCACGGAGAAGCCAGACAAGTGAGAGAAGAGCCCATTTAATTGGGTAGGAATCACAGTTGGCGAAAGAAAATAAAAAGCCCTCATTAAGGATCTCCTGAGCCCCGATAACGAGAAAAATACAGGAGAATATTGCCCAGTGCTATTTAAGTTTTTTTTTCTCTCTCGACTCTCTCCCCAATCTCTTTCACTCGCTTCCACATGTTGCCATTCCCAGCACGTGGCCAAGGAAAACTCCCTTCCACAGTTGTTTCTATATCGCAGTACTCTCCCCAAAAGTGACCTTATCATTCTCCAATTCTATTAAAGAAGTTTTCATGTGGATTATTGATGAAGACCGAGTCGTGTCCCCTGGATAAACAGATACATTTACGAGAGCACAACTTTCTTCACGGAGAGAAATGTTCAGTAAAAATTATGGAACTCAGAAAATTTAAAAATTTTCACAGGAGGTTCAGATAAAAATTACGCAACACTCTGGAAAAATTCTGTGACAGTTCCGTAAAATTTCCTACAACCACATTTCGCTCCGGAATTACGAAAAAGATACGTAATTTTTATTGAATATTTCTCTCCGTGTTGATATTTACACAATTGTCTAGCCGTTCCCTATTTTTCCACGCGGAGAGAAAAAGTTACCATTTTANGTGACAGTTCCGTAAAATTTCCTACAACCACATTTCGCTCCGGAATTACGAAAAAGATACGTAATTTTTATTGAATATTTCTCTCCGTGTTGATATTTACACAATTGTCTAGCCGTTCCCTATTTTTCCACGCGGAGAGAAAAAGTTACCATTTTAGTGCTCGAAAATCACTCGAATAAAATTCAAAAATAACTCTGAGAACAAACAGATTGAGAGGCGGAGTAAAACAACCCGGAGTAAAACAACTACTGAATGCAGGAAATACTTTGCGCCGTGAATTCCCAGCCAAATGGGGCCGGAAAAACGTGAAAGATGGATTAAAAAATTTGTTCCTTTTATATAAACAGTAGAAAGTGGGTTAACAGCGATCGGAAGAGGATAAATAACTTCGCGGAATGTTTAAACATTCGAGGTGGAGGCGCCGCCATGTTTAAACCCCTAGCGGGATTATTTTTGAACATTTCTTCGAAGTATTTGCGCAGTTTTTCCGTCATTACAGTAGTATTCAATTTCTAATTTAGCATTCACTGAGTCATGTGTCAGATGAAATAGAATGATAAATTCTAGAAAATGAAAAGATGGATTTAACAATAGACAAACCAATGAATTCAAAAACCGAGATTTCTTGGGAATGAAGAATGAAAACAAGTTTCAGAAAATGTTTGAAGGATGACTGGAAATTGCAGATAGTCAACCACAAGAGAGTTCTGAAACTCTAAGATTTTCACGGAAAACTAGCTTTTTCTCTCCACGCAACTTGAAATCTCTCGTGTACCCTGTGTCACCCTTACTATATGTATGTATGCACATACAAAAACATGCATGTATGAATGTTCCATATGTATGGAAATATGTAATACCCTGTGGCACGTTCTGTAGACGAGCCGTCAGCATATTCAGCGATTCCGGTAAACTCAGATTACTTTCAATATCTGTCTATTCTTCCAACACTCTTCCCGTCTACTTCGTGTTATCCGTAACTGTAACATTATCTGTGATGTCGAAGTAAATGTAATGGGTGTTCGAGGCTAATGTCGAACGTGCCAATCAGGTATTAATGAGTTATCGATTGATTGAGAAAAACGAAATAGAGAACAATCTCTTCAAGTAGTATACCTAGACGCTATCGGGTTAAAAAGTATAGGCCTGCGGAGCTGGGGGTTTTCCCATTTTACGACAACAGTATTATTTGTTTTCCTGAGAAATATGTTCTAGACATGCGGAATGACCGTAGGAAGAGTTCAAATGAATGCGTCGGATTATTTTTCGATGCGAGAACGATCTCCCAATTTGAGGCCCAGGCCCACACTTTTCAATCCGGTAGCAGTAGCACAAATGATCGTGTAAAAGAACTGAGACTCGAGAGTTTATTGAATTCAACTAATTCTAATCATTTTCATTCGATGAGACATGTGTGAAAACATTTTGAAAAAAATTTGTCACTTTTTAGGGGAAATTCTGCGGGAGTTCTATCAGAATTCTATTGAAAATTATTCAATTTTGCTATTTTTAAAACGAGTTTAGTGGAAAAAATAATAGATTTCGATTTTTTCATGCGAATTATTTTTAAAAAATCCCAAAAGAATAAATTATACGAAAAAATCGATGTCTGTTTTGAAAAATGGCAAGGTTATATAATTTTCGTTAAAGACTAGCATAAAAAAATAGAATTTTCACCAGAATTTTGACGAGAGGGCAATAGACGTTTTCAATCAACAATTCACAGACAAAAAAAAATTAGAAAAACCTGGACAATTTGCTAGAAAATTCTAATGGATTTCTATTGAACTTTCTATTAAATTTTCGCCGATTGTATGAAAAAATTTCACAGCTCATAAAAATATTCTATACAAAAAATCAATACAATTCGATTTTTCTAGTCAATTTACTTCATTGAGACATTTTCTACAGAAATTCATCCGCTCAAATTTTCCAAGTTTTTTTCTTCAACTTTGTAATGAAGAGAGAAGAAAAATAGAGAGAAAAAATTGGGGAATTTACGTCGAGAAATTCCTACAGAAAATATCTCAATAGAAAAAGTTGTCTAGAAAGATGAAATTCTACTGATTTTTTCTCCATAATATTTTTTATTGGATATTTTCCATAGAAAAATCCGGAATTGTGAATGAAAAAAGAATTCTCAAAGGAAATCCAATAGAATTTTCTATTAAATTCACTAGATTTGTCAATGAAATTTTGTCGTGTTTTCACACTTGGAGCCTTGAGTGCCAATAATTCATGAATCCGCTCAATTCCCATAATTTCGAGTCTCTGATTCATGAACGATCAGTCGCACGTTAGACGACATCGAGCATCGAGCACAATTACGGTAGAAGGGCTGACTCATAATAGATATCATGAAACACGAAGCGCCGCACAGTCCACAACGTAGACGGGAGCGTTTGAATCTTCGGATGAAGAGTCTGAGTTTGGATTCACCGGAGGGGACGGCACACGTGCGACATCGTCCCCGTGATTACAACACCAATCAGAAAGATGGAACACCACCGAGACACTCAGACAGTAGTAGTATCAATCGACTGTGTAAGCAAAGCATATCAATTCACTTCAATGAGCATATGATGCTATCATTACAGTGATGAAGAGGTTGATGGATGATTTATTGAGCTTGGGTGGGTTGTGCTCTTGATTTTAGCTCCTTGCAGCTCGACTCAAATGGCTCACAGACATGCACGCGGGGCCATTCGCATGTCGAGTATGGAGTTGCCGGATGATAACGAGAAGTCGTACTCCTCGGCGAGCACTTCACCCTGCCCATCGCCTCATATGAACAATCAGAATCATCTGGGCTTGCCTAATAAACGAGTACTGCCACCCAACAATCTTTATGTCGTCCTTTACAACTTTGAGGCGCGCCATCGGGATGAACTGGATCTCAAGTAATGTTTCTTTTGTGGATTACAGCACGACAAATTTTTGGTGAAAAATTTAACGGCTTTGATTGAAAATTCTATGGGGGGTCTAATAGTTTTTGGGCGATTCTATTGAATAATTTTTATATGTATTTTTTAATAGAAAGGATTTTTTTTTCTATTCCATTTCGTTTTTCGCGATTATCTCGGAAACTATGAGAGATAGAGCCT